ATCTCATTAGTCCATGTTACCGCTTGGGAAAAATTGTATTTATACATAATTTAAATATTTAATGGTCAAAATGTATCAAAGCCTCGGGGATCATAAAATTTTTCTCACAATAAATTTTTTTACACCTCTAACCAGTTATTCCCATATTTATTTTGCTCTGGGAGGATAGAGCTAGTTTCTTTTGATTTAATTGCACTGCCTTGGCTGAAAATACAAGTTATTTTTTATTTATTTTGTGCCAGCAAAAGTGTAGGAAGTGCTCAGCTTCACCAATTCCCGGAAAGGGATATTCTCACTTGGAAAGAGGAATTGAAAAGTGAAATCAAAAAATCCCCTAAGTAGAAAATCGGAAAAAAAAAAAACAAAAAACCCAGCGAACTAAGAGGCAGCAACCAGGCAATAATAAGGTGTTTTATGAAGCTCAAAACTCCCAAGATTGTCACTATTCTCCCTAATTTCACAGATTAACGGGAATAATTCAGTTGCTAAGGTTTTTTTTTTTTTTTGTGATAAATTCATTCCGATCTCACCCTGCTGAGGAACAGGGATTATCCTGGGGAAAGGGGGTGAGGACACAATGAAGTTTTATGAGGGAAGGAGATGTTTTTCGGGGTTTTTAGTGTTGTGCGTGCTTTGTTTCCATCAGTTTGCTGCCTTTAATGGAGCTTTAAAGCAGCGCAGCCGCTGCTCCCTCAGAGCGCCTGAGGGCTGCCGGGTCCGGCGGGAAAAACGGGAATTTATCGCAGGAATTGGGAACACGGTGCTGCCACCGTGACTGCGTTACCGAGAGTCCCTAACGCTACCGAGAGCGCCGCGGAACCGGGATAAAACCACGGCAGCGGTGGAACCCATCCCGGGAGCTGAAGCGGGAGCGGAGCCGCGTCCCGCCCTCACTCACCCCCTCATGGTGAACTTCACCACGGCCAAGCGCGAGCCGGCGGCGCTCAGCTCGGGCTGGAACTCGGTGTCGTTGGCGATCACCTTCACGCCCGCCATGGCCGCGGGCCCCGGTGGCGGTACCGGGTGCGATGTGCAGCGTCACGGCGGGCAGGGCGCCCGGCATGCACCGCTGGGACCAGCGCAGGCGCGGCCGCTCCACCSCGCCATCTTGGGAACGGGCAGCGAGGGGTGATCCCAACGGCGGCCATTTTGGGAACGGGCAGTGAGGGGGGATTCCAACGGCGGCCATCTTGGGAACGGGCAGTGGGGGTGATTCCAACGGCGGCCATCTTGGGAACGGGCAGTGAGGGGGTGATTCCAACGGCGGCCATCTTGGGAACGGGCAGAGAGGGGGGGATTCCAACGGCGGCCATCTTGGGAACGGGCAGCGAGGGGTGGTTCCAACGGCGGCCATCTTGGGAACGGGCAGTGAGGGGGGATTCCAACGGCGGCCATCTTGGGAACGGGCAGTGAGGGGGTGATTCCAACGGCGGCCATCTTGGGAACGGGCAGAGAGGGGGGGATTCCAACGGCGGCCATCTTGGGAACGGGCAGCGAGGGGTGGTTCCAGCGGCGGCCATTTTGGGAACGGGCAGAGAGGGCGGGAACGACACCACGGCGGCCATTTTGGAAACGGGCAGGACGTGAGGGGGTGAAGCCGTTGGCAGCCATCTTGGGAACGGGCAGAGAGGGGTGATCCCAACGGCGGCCATCTTGGGAACGGGCAGTGAGGGGTGGTTCCAACGGCGGCCATCTTGGGAACAAGCAGAGCGTGAGGGAGTGAAGCCGCCGGCGGCCATTTTGGGAACGGGCAGAGAGGGGTGATCCCAACGGCGGCCATCTTGGGAACGGGCAGAGAGGGGTGATCCCAACGGCGGCCATCTTGGGAACGGGCAGGGCGTGAGGGGGTGAAGCCGCCGGCGGCCATCTTGGGAACGGGCAGAGAGGGGTGATCCCAACGGCGGCCATTTTGGGAACGGGCAGAGCGTGAGGGAGCGAAGCCGTTGGCGGCCATTTTGGGAACGGGCAGTGAGGGCGGGAACGACACTGCCGGCGGCCATTTTGGGAACGGGCAATGAGGCCGGGAACGGCACCGCCGGCGGCCATTTTGGAAACGGGCAATGAGGGCGGGAACGGCACCGCCGGCGGCCATTTTGGGAACGGGCAGTAAGGGCGGGAACGACACCGCTGGCGGCCATTTTGGGAACGGGCAGAGCGTGAGGGGGTGAAGCCGCCGGCGGCCATTTTGGGAACGGGCAGCGAGGGGTGGTTCCAACGGCGGCCATTTTGGGAACGGGCAGAGCGTGAGGGAGCGAAGCCGCTGGCGGCCATTTTGGGAACGGGCAGAGAGGGCGGGAAGGAAGCCGCCGGCGGCCATTTTGGAAACGGGCAGTAAGGGCGGGAACAACACCGCCGGCGGCCATTTTGGAAACGGGCAGGACGTGAGGGGGTGATCCCAACGGCGGCCATTTTGGGAACGGGCAGAGCGTGAGGGAGTGAAGCCGTCGACGGCCATTTTGGGAACGGGCAACGGGGGCGGGAACAACACCGCCGGCGGCCATTTTGGAAACGGGCAATGAGGCCGGGAACGACACCGCCGGCGGCCATTTTGGGAACGGGCAGCGAGGGCGGGAACGGCACCGCCGGCGGCCATTTTGGGAATGGGCAGAGCGTGAGGGAGTGAAGCCCTGGCGGCCATTTTGGGAATGGGCAAGCGCGGGAATTGCGTGAGGGGAGAAGAACCTTAAAATTTTAACGTGAAAATTTAGCCCTACTTTCGTCATTAACAACTTTCTATGTGACATTATGGTTATTATGCTTCTCTCTTGAAAGGAGAACTGTTGTAATTTTCTTTTAGCTTCCTTTAAATTACGTTTTTTTAATAAAGCCAATCTGTCGCGATAGTGAATTCTTAAATAAACGCTCAGAAGCAAAAAGGGGGAAGAAATTTATAAACGCTTGTATTAACCACAAAAAACCCCGAAATTAAACCAAAGACTTTCCCACTTGCCAATTTTCTGACAATTTCTCTACGTGCTCTATAACACAATATAATAAATGTAGCTTCGAGATGTCTCATATTAACGCTTTTCCTGCTCAAAACCAGGGATATCCCCAGCATTCTCCTCCCGCCCGTTGCAATTTTAAAGCCTGACAGTCATCGCTAATTAATTAATTAAGCAAGCAGTCCCCTTTTCCCTGCACTACCTCAGCGGAACCCCGCAGTTTCCATGGCGCCCGCGTTTGCCGTCAGGCGCGCCGGCCGCGGTTTCGTGACGGTGTCGCGGGAGGCGGTGTCATCCGCTCGCTGCGGGGCCGCGGCACCCGGGACCCGGGAGGGCCGGGAAAGGGAACGGGAGCGGAACCGGGACCGGATAGGTGAGAACCGTGAGGGGGCGAGGGGAGAACCGTGAGGGGGGAACCGTGAGGGGGCGAAATGAGAGCCGTGAGGGGGCGAAATGAGAACCGTGAGGGCGCGAACCGTGAGGGGGCGAAATGAGAACCGTGAGGGGCGAGGCGGGAACCGTGAGGGGCGAAATGAGAGCCGTGAGGGGGCGAAATGAGAGCCGTGAGGGGGGAACCGTGAGGGGCGAAATGAGAGCCGTGAGGGGGCGAAATGAGAGCCGTGAGGGGGGGAACCGTGAGGGGGAGAGGCGGGAACCGTGAGGGCGCGAACCGTGAGGGGGGCACGGGGTCGCCCGGCCCGCGGCGGGAGGGGCGGCGCGAGCCCCCGGCCCTCAGGTTTCCCGCCCAAAGCGCTGAGGGGGCTGAGGGCGCTGAGGGGACATGGCGATCTGAGAATCCGAGAATTCACAGATTCCACCGACCCACCGTTAACGGGACACGATTGGCTTTGGAGTTTCACCGCGAAAACAGCACCAGGTTATTATTAATGTGGGGAGATTTCCGTCGCTGCTGAGGGAGTCTCACCTCAGGGAATTGATCCTCTTGGGGGGATTGAATTCCTTTTAATGCCTTTTTTTTTGCTACCTSTCAGCCTTCCCCAATTTTATTTCCYTTTTCAGTGCYAGACACAGTGCTCTTGGCACYCTAGAGTTCTCCAGCTGTTTTGGATAACTGTCCTCTATGACAATTTGAAACGGGAAAAATTACTGTGGGTTTAGTGTGGCATCAGATGAAGGAGCAGGAAAACCTGCGAGTGGTTTCCAAAGGTGTCAATTAACTCCAATCTCATGCCCCAAATTAGTGTTTCCTTTTTTTGTCTTGGTTTGGAATCTTTTGTATATCTAGGGAAGGTGTTTTCATTGTCTTCTCCCTCCCTCAGAGGTCCTTGTTCTTCATCTCTAGATAATAAATAGAAAGTATAATCTGTAATTAAATTTAAAATCATTAGATTTTTTTAAAATGCATAAACAGCCCATTCATAGTTATTTCATGCTATTTAATACTATTTTGGGGCAGATTATTGGAGATAATMACACATATCCTGAGATTATTTCCTKMATGGAAATGTGTTTGGGAATRGTAGCTCTTGGCTTTTGGTGTAATAAAGGTGGGATTAGTTTTGTTTTACCTCTTTCTCCCATGGATTTATTCTGTCTGGGGGCTTTTCTGTATCCATACTGTGGATCTCAGGGTAAAAAAAAACTTGAAAAGGTTTTCACTGGAATTTTGKATTCCGTGTTTGATACCTTGTACTTGAAAAATCAGTTTAGTGGCTTTACTCAAATAGGAATTGATCCCAGATGATTAAATGTGCCTTAATCCCACCTTTAAGCAGAGCAGTTCAAGGAGTCACTGGATTATTTTGTCAGATTAAYGTATTATTTAACATTTTTATTTCATTTCCACATTTCAATAATTGCTTTCTGTTTAAATATTCTTAAAATCCTATTTTCAGGAAGGTGTTTTCCCACATCTCTGCATTTATTGTRTTTGTAAAGTTAGAATTATTTAAGTATTATCTATTTATTATTGTTTGCAATGTTTTATGTTATAGAGGGAAGCAAAATAATTGCAAGGATGATGTTATTCATATATATATGTATATCCTTATAAATATGGAGTAACAGAAGCTCTGCTTTGTTGTGGTTTGGGAAGAAAATGAGGATTTTAGCACTTGTGGAAACTCTGGAGACAGAGTATTAACAGGAATAACTTTATTTGTGACATCTCCATTTTCCACTTCCAAATTCCCTTTTCTGCAAGAAATCGTTGGGTTTTGGGAGTTCTAAATCACTAAAATGTGGGAATTGCTGCAGACTGATTCCCTGACTGCTTTTGGGCCCGTTTGGCATTGGGACAGCGTTGATTTGCTCCTGTAGTTTGTCATCACTGATGGCAAAAAATGGAATTATTGATTGTTTGCAGACAAGAAGGGATTTGGGTGCTGGCAGGGGCTGCAGTCGGCGTTTGCCKGGGCTGAGCTCTGCAATCTGAATTCCTGGAGAATTAAAATGTGGCTTTTCCTCAAAAGGAAGTTTTTTATGAAGGCCTTGCGCTGCCATAAGCAAAAACTAGAAGGAAAGAGGTAGTTTTTCTTTTTCCTCTCCCTCCTAAAGCCTTGCTGTGWAATATTCTGATTTCTGATTGAAATGGGAATATTAGAGGGTTGATAGTGTGTTTTCTGCATGGAAAATCTGGAATTTCTTATATTAGTTATGTGCTAATGCTTTTCTGTGTTGTAATACCCTATATGTTCCTTTTGAAAATTCCTTTTGTTCAGAGTGGGGTGGTTTGAAAGTGTTCACAAGTAGCTTGAAATGCAGAATCTCAAGCAATAATTCTGTGCCCCACTAGGGGAGTTTCTGTATTTATTTAAAAATTGCAGCTGTTTTTCACAGCCAGGTGACACAGGAACACTGGGAYTCGGTCCCTGGCAGCAGCAGGAGTGAGAAAGGATTTTTCTGTTGTTTTATTGGTGTTTTTCAGCTCTGGTTCAGTCATTCKTGGTTTGTTTCCTCACAAAAATTGGGTGGTAAAAGAGGCAAATGGKTATTTCTGTTTGCTTTGGGTGTTTTTATTCTTCTTGTTGGTATTTGCATTTTGTTCTGTTGCATCTGGCCACTTTATTCCTGCTTTTATTCCATTTTTATGATGATTTGCCTGCAAATCAAGCCTGGTTTAATTGTAGCTCTTTGTGTTGTGTRAAATGCTGAATTAATTTCTTTTTCTACGTTGTGATGGTCCAGACAGAGCAATTGATCCAGCATTGCATAACAATTAACACTGCAGGGCCAGGTGTGGTTTGCAATGTGGAGAAAAACTGCATTTTTGGTCTTTATTGATCCTGATTGTTAAATTCAAGCTCTTAATTAAACAGCTTTTAATGAAGATGATTCACCAGGAATGAGCTGCTTTTCTGGGAGGGGTGTTTGATGTGATATTGCAGATTTGGTGATGTGGATTTATTGCTTCTACCTCTGTGTGTAGCTGTAAAAAACCTCTGGAAAATACACATTTTTAAATATCTCTTCCATGAATCCTGCTTGTTTTGGTGTGTTCATGCTCCTCTAAATCAGARCTCTGGCTCTGGTTAGAGCTGGGGTAAATTCAAAGCATAAACCTCCAGAGGATAATCCATCAGGAGTGTTTGGTTATTTATTTAACACGACCTTTTCACTGATAAGAAAACGCCAGTTCTACAAACATGGAAGTGCTCAGCAAGCTGGGAATGTTTCTACCACAAACAGAGGKTTTAAATCTTGTGCAAATCCAAGTTGGGTTTTATTGCCACAACTCGAGTTTCTATTCCCAGTGACCGAGACCGTTTTGGCCTGGGGMCGGTTGAAATTCCGCTGTGTTTTTTGTGTCAATACCTTTGGAAGATGTGAAATGTTGCTGTAAAAGTAGTGCTGGACTTATTTCCTGCTGGAGAGTGGCCAGGATTCAGTTTATCACTGATTTCACCTAAGGCAGGATATTCCATATTCCAGTATCTGTGTAGCAGGGACATCATCATAGCAGGGTTATAAAAACAGCTCCAGCCTCGGGCCTTCAAACATTTCTTACTACAAAATTACACTAAAAACAGGGAATTGGGATGTGCTGCTTGGTTGTATGTGGGGAAGGAAATGCCTATAAAATTTTGCCAGATTGTAAGAAATCAAGCTTGTGTTTTTAAAGGATTGGTTAAGGAACGTTAGGGCATTCTCTGAGGAGAAATGAGAGGATCCCACGCACAGGAATATTTATGTAGAGCATTAATGAGGCCACTCCAGGATAATTTCCTGAGGTTTTGGGGACAGAGATGGGGATGCTCCTGTTGCTGAGCCCTGKTTTKTTTTTTTTTTGGTTGGAATTACAGGCACTCTGTGACCATGGCTGGGAACAGCCTGGTGCTGCCCATCGTGCTGTGGGGCCGGCGTGCCCCCACTCACTGCGTGTCCTCYCTGCTGCTCGTGGATGGCTCTGTCATTGTCACCGGCTGCCACGACGGGCAGATCTGCCTCTGGGACCTGGCTGCTGACCTGCAGGTGATGGATTTGAAATTCCCTTTGCTCTGGATCAAATCTCCCTTCATCCCCTGGCTGTCCTCCCTGTCCCACTGCTGCTGTGACCACTCCACCCTTCCCACATCTTACTGAGAGGTGCTGCTCCTTCAGGAGGATTTTTATAACTCATTCCAGTTTCTTGGAGCTGCTCTAAACCAGTTTATGGTGTTATAAAAGGGAATTCCTTCCCAATGCCCCATCTGGCAGTGCAAAGCCATTCCTCCTTGTCCTGTCCCCAATCCCTCTCCAGTGYTCCTTTTTTGCACTCCCCTTATTTGTGGGTATGCAAAAACTCAACTGGAGGAACTCCTCATATGCAGCACAATTTTTTCATTCAGCCAAATTCAATTCCAATTGAACTGAGCCAAATTCAGCTCCTGATTTGTAAATATTGAGAGGAGTTTGCAAAATGCATTTTTTTCCCCTTAAATTCTCATTCTTATGTGAAGTAGAAAATCTTCCAAGATGACCCATCCACTGCTGTGCTAATTAAATGTGTGTGCTCACATGAATGGAGATGGAACACATGAAGTGGAAAGCTGCCATATGGATATCCTGATCATCTGTGTGATTTTGCCTTCTTGTTTTCTTTCCCTGATCCCAGATCAATCCCAGAGCTCTGCTYTTTGGTCACACAGCCTCGGTTACTTGTTTGTCCAAGGCCTCAGCTTCCAGTGAAAAGCAATATATAGTGAGTGCATCAGAGAGTGGGTGAGTTTCTGAGTGTTTCTTGATGTGCAGAACTGAAATAATGGGAATTTGTCCCAAATTTATCTGTATTTCAATGCTGTGTTTCATTTTTATCCTCAAGAACAAATTCCTCAGCAAATACATTTTATTTTTGGATTGGTTTTGTTTATTAATCAGAGCAATAGTTTAGAAGGAGAAACAGGAAGGATTYCTTCCATTTTTATCTGGAAAAGGCAGGGAACAATTTGCCTGAATAACATTTTGGCAAGGAATTTGAGAGGAGAATGTGTCAAAATTTACAGTTTCCACCTTGGGCCGATTTCTAGGCTGAGTAATCTCCTCCCCTTAGATTTAAAACCAAAACGTGTTTTCACTGAGAATTTGTCTGTCTGATGGAAAGGGGGAAGCACCTCACAGATTCTGTTCTGATGAAATTTGAATGTGAATTTTTAAGTTAAAAAGTACTGTAGATGCAGGGAATAGCTGCTTTGAATTGCTGCAGGTTCTGTAATTTATCCTTATAGTGAAAAGGAGGTGGTGTGGATTCAGGAGGACCTGAAATTCCATTTGCTGCTGGGTTTCTCTAAATTCAATTGATMTAATCCCTGTTCAAATAAAATTCCTCACAGTGTGAAGGGTTTCTGAGTGTGTGGACACCTGGCCTGTTTTGCTGTGTTTTAGGGAGATGTGCCTGTGGGATGTGAATGATGGAAGGTGCATCGAGTTCACCAAGCTGGCTTGTGCCCACACTGGCATCCAGGTGAGTGCTGGCAGGGATGGCACAGTGGGAAGTGTGATTTGGAAGATTTGGGAACACCCTTTAGATCCAAAATGAAGGGATCCCTGTCCTACACAGATTCTGACTGGAGTTTGTTCCCATCTGTGCAGTTCTATCAGTTCACAGTGGGCACGCAGCGGGAAGGGAGACTCCTGTGCCACGGACATTATCCCGAAATTCTGGTCATGGATGCAGCCAGYCTTGAAGTTCTGTATTCTTTGATATCCAAGATCTCTCCTGACTGGATCAGCTCCATGAGCATCATCCGCTCCAACAGGACACAAGGTGATTATTTCAYGTGSCAGGRACACCTCCCATTATCCCAGRGTGCTCCAAGCTCCATCCAGCCTGGCTGGATACTCCAGGGATACTCCCAGTGCAGCACAAATGAGGAAATGCTCGTGCCTCAGCCTGCTTTTTGTGTTTCCCAGAGGACACCGTGGTGGCCGTGTCCGTGACCGGTATTCTCAAAGTCTGGATCATCACCTCGGACGTCAGCCGGCTGCAGGTAGGCACAGCCTGCAGGATTTAGGACACTTCCTTCTGGGATGGGTTCTGTTCCTCATATTCCATTTCCTCTTTGCCAGTGGAAAATCAACTTCCTGAATTTTCCTTTACCGATACCACTTGCCAGCAAGAGAACTGTTTTCCAAATCAAGTTAGAATAATCCCAAATTTTTCCGAATCTGTTTTTTGTTTGCACAATGTACTGATTTGGGTTAGTGTTTTGTTGAGCAGACCATGGCATTTTTGGGTATATTCATTATTCAGGATTATCTCCAGCTCCCTGTTATTTGGCATTTCCTATGTATTAATGAATAAATTCTTAAAGGAGATTTGTCTGKGATAAATCAACTCTTCACAGAAATCTCTAGTAAAAGATGTTTAGCAGCTAAGGAAAAATCACCTTCCATCTAGGAATGGAATGGGAGTGGAATCTGCTTCACTGCAGCTTCTACCTGGCTGCAAGGTCAGCACCACTAATCTGTGCTGCTGGGGAATTTGGGAGATTTAAGTGCCCAAAGAGGACACCACGTGYTCCAGCAGATCTTCTTAGGAGGAGTCATGGAATAAAAGCAGCTCTGATTGTTTGGGTTCTCTGTAGAAATCACCCATCTGGCACCTTGAGAAATTCCCAGTCCTTTTTCTGTGTGCTCTGGCACAGTCCTGATTTCGGTGGGAGCAGGAAAGAGTTGGTTTAGTGCTGGTTCTGTTTGGTTTAGGACACCACCCCCGTGTTTGAGGAGGAGTCCAAGCCCATCTACTGCGAGAACTGCCAGAGCATTTCCTTCTGCTSCTTCACCCAGCGCTCGCTCCTGGTCGTGTGCTCCAAGTACTGGAGGGTAAGGCAGAACCCCTGAGCCCTCCTCCCTCGAAAATCTCAATTAAACAACACAAAAACATTTAGAACAAAATGCTCTAATTCTCTTTAATGCATCTTTGTTACATATTCAACATGTTTAATATATATTTAATCCACATCTCAGCCTGTGGTGTGAATTTGGAACAAGACGATCCTTAAAGTCTTTTCCAACACAAACTCTTCTGTGATTCTGTGATCTTGAACCCAAAATCAGCTGCACATTTTAATGTGTAATCAATTGGTAATAACAATAGATTTTGCTGTTTCCTCTCAGGTTTTTGATGCCGGAGATTATTCCCTCTTATGTTCAGTCCCCAGTGAAAATGAGCAGACTTGGACTGGTGGGGATTTTGTGGCAGCTGATAAAGTGATTGTATGGACAGAGGATGGACAGAGTTTCATCTATAAATTACCAGCCAGGTATTCAACAAAGAAATATCCCATTTATTTAATTTTGGCTTAATTTGAATTGAACTGAGTTAATTGAACTACTGAAATATTGATCCAGTACGAGAAAGCACATAAATACAAAAGTACAAAATTAATAAAATTTCGCATCAAAAAGGTTAAAAATGACAAGTAAAATCAAAGACTTTGACATCTTCATGGTGTGCAAACATGTTTTATCTTGAATATTCCCACATAAATCACGTGGGAACTCCTTTTTCGCCCTCACATGTCAGAGCATGAGGATGGAAGCAACATCCTTCTGTAGGAATTGCTCTCTAAATCCAAGGAATTTTACTCCTTTCTTTGTTCCTGAATTTTTGAATTGAATTTCTGGTTTTCCACTTTGTTTTTATACCCAGCTGCCTCCCAGCCAGTGATTCATTCCGCAGGGATGTGGGGAAAGCAATGGAAAACTTGATTCCACCTTTATTGTACAGCGTGTTGGACAGAGCAGAGAAACAGGTAAATGTGTTTTTTTTTAATGGGTTTGTGATGTTTTTAAATGAAGGAAGCTTGGAGCTGAGCACGTGGTTTGTGTGTTGAGGTTGTTCCTTGTTTTTTACACAGCTCCTRATATGTCCTCCAGTGACTCGATTCTTCTGTGGCCAGAGAGAACTTCCCTACAAGCTCTTAATCCAGGGAGACTCCTCAGGGAGGCTTTGCATTTGGAGCATACCCGACACCCTGGACCAGCAGGAGGGTGCAAAAGGTACTCAATTAATCCTCAGATCTTCGTGGATGCT